ATCCCTCTGTCAAGAGTCTTGTGGAATGGCTCTGACCCTGGCCAGGGTGTTGTGTCATCTTCCCGTTCCTGCCCATTTTCCAACCTTCAAAATGACTCAGCTCTGCAAGCAGCTGATATAATTTCAATTCATTCATTTTCTGATTAAATCAGCCAGAGTGTGATGCTTGCAAATAAGATTCCTGAGTAACACAATATATAAGTTAAATTTGAAATTCTCTCTTTGTTAATGTGCATGGGTTTGTTGTTCCATGCCAACAGTGCTCTTATTTTAGAGATGAGCGCATTTCATGTCAGTAATTCCTTTGCAAGGTATTAAAAATCTGATAGTCAAGACCATTTCTTTTACATATTCCCTTAAAAAGAACCACACTTGATTGATTTTCCTGTATAATCCCTTGGAGCTAGCATTGCCTCATCAAAAGAGAATGAGTCTTTCCTTGTGTTTTAGTCACATTTTTCTCCACAACTTGGGTAGGGCTGATATGAAGTATCCTAGAATATATTGAGAGATTTTCTCTAGCTCCATGACTCTTAAATGTAGGTCTCTGGTACGAGAGTCAAAGTCCTGCTAAGGGATCATTTTCCAGGTGCATGTCATGACTATTTTGGTTATAATCTTGGTGGCACTTGTCAACCAAGATGAGTGTGAGCACATGTACTGTGAGGGGGGGGGAAGGGAAGAGATTCAGCATCAATGAACAGCAGAGGTGAACTTCTATGTAATCTGTTTACACTTTTAAACCTGTTTAAAAAATTAGGGAGAGTAACTTTTTCTTAGTGAATATTTCAACACTGTAGTGTCTTTTGCTGAAGTTCAAACCAAAGGAAGTATGATTTGCTTCCTTCTCAGTCCACAAGTCTAGAAAATATAAGTGAATAACAGTAGGAGAGCTCGACCAGCTGGTCCAGGATGAAGATGGCCCCTCTGGTCTAGCTACGTCGGCAATGCTGGAGAAGAAAAGAGAGGATGGTTTCTCAAGAGGCTGAGTCGACTCCATAAAGTTGTATGCAAGACACAGCAAACTTTGTAAATAACCAGGACACAGAACTATAAGGCAGACCTAGGCTGGATGCCACAGTGGGCCAAGGTGATCATTTCACACAAAAACAGAGGATCTCTCCTCTTGGTGGTCGGTCAACCGTGTCGTCTTACAGTTTTATAGGAGGCAGCACAGTAGCAACAAGAGCTAAATCTAGTATCACGCCAATGGCACACAGTTGCAGCAGCCTGAAGCTCATGGAAGCCTTGGTTACAGGAAAACACAATTTCCAGGTCCCAGCTAAGACCTGCTTCCTCTAACTTCTCTGCAATTTATTCTGTGGATTTAAAGGCACAGGTTACAAATGGAGACAGCCCTGTGATTCAGTAACCAATAAAAAGCCAAAAGTTTTTGGTTTTGTTTTGATTTTAACTACTATTGTTCTGCTAAGGGAACATTGCAATGATGTGTCCTAAGAATGTTTTGCTACACCTACAGAACAGCGCCTCTCTCAGCTATCATCAGAGAAACCTCTTATAGTTGACGGGGACTGACACAGAGACACACAAATGAACATTGTGCAGAGAGTGACACATCTGGAACACTCTATCTTGAATGGGATGTCTTCATCAAATCCCTCTTCTCAGGGTTTAGGGAGATATGCAGAAGAGGAGACAGAAAGATTGTAAGAGCCAATGGGGGTGTTCGACTCCACAACAATATAGTGTCTCCCAGACACGATAAGACTGGCGCCCAAATGAACTCAATGAGATTGTGGCAGCACCCACAGGGTCTATACTGGTTCAAGTCAGATGAAGTCCCAGCACTAAGAGGGGAAATAGACAAAAGCTTCCATTCCTAACTAAGAAGCTCTCTGCAATTGACACCTGCTTGCAAAGTTGTGTAAAAAATTAGTTTTCTCCAGTGAAGTTTCACTGCATATAGTAATCACTCTTCAGGGTGGGTGCCATGCCCAGAAGTTGATGCCAATATAAAACAAACTCAATGGTGTTTCTGTAGACTTTTGTCTCATATTGTTTTGTTTGGGCATTTTTTGACTTTCTGGCCTTTTGCTTGTATGTTATGATTTATAATTTTGTGTTTTATGGATTTTGTGCATGGATATAGATATATATGTATGCGTTTGTGTGTTTCTTGTGTTTGGTTTTTAGCTTGTATGCTTGTTATCTAAAGAGAGACGGAAGAAAGGAGGTGAGATGAGTGGGGAGGATCGAGGAGGGGTTGGGGAGGGAACAACTTGATCATAATATACTGTATAAAGAAATTTTCAAAAAGGAAAGAAAAGTCAAAGGTTCTGCCCTTAGGGAAGGAACCTTGTCTGGTGCCTGGTGACTCGGTGTCTTGAAGCCTGTGCAGAACAGAACTGAAATGGTGCCTTGGGCTCTGATGAAGCCTACCTTGATGTTTCCTGGGTCCACTGTTGGGTGATGTCCCTCTGCTTTAGGGAAATGTAACAATATAATGATGCTGACTTTCAGGAATAGGTGAGCTTTTGATTAGGATCCTAAAATATCTGAACTTAGCTTTCCCTATGGTCTCTTCAACATCCCATGCCCTGTGCCACTTGGAGAATGCTAATGCTCTACGCCTAGGTGCTTTGTTGTAAGTTGGTGACAGTCACAACACCTACCGTTATGGTTGATTGCTCTAAACATTCATTCATATGAGAAGAAATGGTGAGGGATACAGGGGTTGAATTCATTAGAAGGGAGTACAGCACGTCTGAAGACAATGCAGAGAGAATTCTTCTCCCGGTGTCTGCTAAGCTCCATCTACCTCCACCATCATACTTATTACACTCATTCTTCCTTCTGTTGCCCAAATGTACCACTCCAAGTTGCTTATACCAGTTATTATCTTTGCAGACATTAACCTTACAATCAGTTTAGACTTGGAAGATCTCTGTACTCTGTGAAAGTCAGTAGGAAATGTGACATTGAGTGATGAGAAACGCGGAGGTAGGGATGAGAACCATGTGAGCTCTCAGCAGAGAGACACATGAGCCCGGTTACAGGTGGGACACAGAGTGAGAGAGTTGGAACTGGCCCTGGAGGTCACTCAGGTGGGACACAGAGTGAGAGAGCTGGAACTGGCCCTGGAGGTCACTCAGGTGGGACACAGAGTGAGAGAGCTGGAACTGGCCCTGGAGGTCACTCAGGTGGGACACAGAGTGAGAGAGTTGGAACTGGCCCTGGAGGTCACTCAGTTTGACTCACTCTCATGGGTCTGAGACTTCCTGGTGCTGTTTCCTGAAGAACAATGGTTCAATTACTATTTTTTATTTATCTTCTTGATTTTAATTCCAGATCACAGCCTCTTTATTGCTTTTCACACTGCCTTGGCAGGAGCACATGGAGTAAATTACTTCTGCACTTGGGCTCTGCTGTGGTTTCTGGACCTGCCTGTGTTGTTGTCAGGTATGTGCTCTGGATGAATGGAGTTGTTTTTGGTATTTCTTGCCTCACTCCAGTCTCTCAGGTTGGTAAAGAGACTCCTCTGGAGTCTGGTATAGACCTATAACTGTGTCCTTCCCGCTATCCCTTCTGTGAAACCAATCTGTTTTCATAGTCGCATCCCCAGAAGAGATGCAGGTCAATAAACACGGTTAGCAGCTGCAGCTGATTGAAGATGCTTCTGTTCCATGCTGGAAGCATTTTATCTGGGAAGACTTTGCCAGGTGTGTGATAATCTAGTCACAGGAGAGGGGGAACCCAGGCAACCACTACAGACTGGGACCAGTATGTTCCTCACTTACACTCGTGGGAGTGATGTTCCTTCGATGGGGGACCTAAGCTTTTCTTTTTAAGACCTTAAAACTATAATAATAAAACCTGAAAATCCAAACAGATCAATACTACCTCTGAAGTCTGAGCTGTTTATCCCCACAGCACCTAGTGTTTACATGACTATAGCAGCTACCCATCAGATAGTGGCTTTTCTATGGGATTTATATCTTAGACTAGTGAGCCAAACTACAGTGATCGTCCGAATCACCCACAAGGCTGTTCAATCCATATTCTAAGAGCTGTGGGGATAGCAAGCCCAGGGTTTGCATTTCTAATGAGCTCCCAAGCGATGCTGCTCTCTGCGCCGAGGATTGCGTTTAAACAATTTAAACATCATGGTCATTGGACAACACAGCCTGTCCCTTGACCTTTCATCCTTATTTCAGTCTCAGTCACTCTTTCCTTTTACCTTCAGCTGCTCGGTCCCTTCTACAAATCTGCTTGCTAATTGTCTTTGCACATACACAAACGTTCATTTCAGCTGAGCTGCTCCTTGATATTCCTTCTATAAGGAAGCATTTTGGCTGGAAAGCCCTGGAGTTCATCAGGGTGGCCTGCATCCATCACCAGCTCCCTTTCTCTGGTGACATTAGTATGTCTGTCAGTGTTAGTGCAGAAAGTGGGTATCTGTGGGAGCTGTTCCTGCCAGCCTTCCAGGAAGGAAAGAGGCGGGGCACAGACAATCCCATTGTCCTTTTCAGGGGCTCCCCTGGCTACACTTAATCCTCATGATTACAAGGATAAGCGAAGGTGGCTTCAGGGCATGTTGAATGAAAATCTCATAGAATTCTAGGCACAAGCAGACCTGTTTTCAAGCCCAGGAGAGGGGTAGAGCTTCCAAAGTCTGAACCTGACCTCCAGTGGGTAAGGTCTCTCTGGGAGGTTCTACATTGTCAATGTGCATGGTGTTCTCCTGTTCCCCGCTCTTGGTGTCTAGCACATACTGAACGGAGGGCACACACTTCAGATGGTAAAGAGCATCCCGGGAACCAGGAGTCTGATGTTACCTAACACACTCGAGCAAGCAGATGGAGCCAGCTGGGACAGGAAGAGCACAGAAACTCTTAACACAAGTTAATTTGACTTTTAACACCAACCTAACTCTGCCCTTAAAACTGGGTCCGAGGCTCTCTGGGCAGAGGTTCTCTGGCTCAGAGCTAGGAGCAGCCTTTCACTTTGGCTCAGACAGTGGTAAGAGAAGCCTGGCTTACCTGTTAAGCTGGAGAATCTTGATAAAGACGGCCAATTCAGATTTTGTCCGGACCACAGCTTCCTAAACTGTGGGTTGTGACTCTGTATGCAGCCATATGACTGAATATGGGACAGGGATCATAAAAATTCTATGACAGTAAAAGATTTCTGAATGTGTTACAACCAGAACTGAATTCAAAATGACCTGTGCAATGATCTGAGGAGTGTCTGGCAGGACTCACCCGTGTGGTCTGACATGACTTCACTGCAGCCTTGGTTCAGAGCACACAAGAGTACTTTGCATTGCGCCTGTCAGCAAGCTGTCCAACCTGAATGAGTGGAACTAGGCACTGTGAGTGCCTCCTGCCGTACAGCTCTAACAAATACTTGTAACTGCTTGCCTCACTTCTGGGACCATCACACATTATGAACTGCAGTATGTTTCTGCTCTTACGGAAATGATATTTTAATTGCCAGAGACAAAGACTTTTAAATATTTTCCTATCATCATTCTTCACATGTAAATTTCAAATTGATAATAATTTTGGGTTGAATTGTGTAGAATCTTCTATTTTAAAAGTTACACTTTGGGTTGCTGACTTGAATTTTGTAAAAAAAATCACTATAAATATAATTTTGGCATTAAGAAAACTTTTTCAACAATTTCTGAAGTGGCCCTAAACATACTTGTGTCATCTTGTGTTTGTATTTATGTGAAGGGGCATTCTCAGTAATGATTATAACATCGGGGAAAATATCCGCCAATTCTGAATAGCAGTGAAGATGCTCTCTCTCTTGATGTAGCGAATATATCCAGCCAGAATTTAATTCTTTATGTAACAGCAAACAAGAATATTCATTTTCTTAGTGTGTGAGTTTGCTTTTGTCTTGAGTAAATGGTAAAACTTCTGCCCATTGAAGAATTGCTTTAATTTCTTTTGACTTACCACCAGTAATGTTTGAGTCACATACCTGATGTCTACATCTATTCCCCATGCACGAGGAAAGGGTGAAGAGACCAGTTCTTGGCTAGTTAGTAGCTGAACATTTGCAGTCTTGCTATGGTGCCTGCTTCTCGGGCAGGAAGCCGGAGGCTGAGACAGCCTGCAAGGTGCTTTTCATGCTCTTCCTTTTTATCCTGGGTATCCAGGGCTCCCTAAAGCAGTGGACTGGGGATTCAGCAGCCAAGGAAATGCATTTTGCAGTGTCATTTGCATGTTTAACCTCCCTCTGATGCTCTCATTCTCCAACAGATGCAGGCAAAGCCATTTACGTAAAAGTTTCCATGCCGCTGAACAAGGCTGGGATTTGGGTGAACTAAATAATTGTTAGGTCTATTTGAGTTGGGCTCCCATAGGTCTCTTTGAAGAAGCGTATTCCGAGCAGCTGGGCCAGGATAGAGCTTTGTCGGTGGCTACTGCCTGTATTTGCATTTCACACATAACTCAAGGATCACTTTCATACCTGTCTTCCACAGTGACTCGGAGGTATTAAAATTGTACTTCTCCGCTCATGGAAGCAGTCCCAGTCACAGACTCGGATGGCGTGGTCTTAAGTATGGTTTCCCACTGACAAACTCAGTCACATTCTCTGTGACACTGCCAAGAATGGCCTTGCTTACTCAGCATGACCATCCACTGTGAAAACCAAAAGGAGGTCAGTCAGTTTATAAGACCGTGAAGAGTGATGCGAAATGGAAAATTTGGGGTTTATAAAGCAACATGTAAATATTGGTTATGCTGGACCATGGTTATCAATATCAGCTCAATCTTAACCCTCTACAATGACCACTTGGGTTGCCTTTTAGGACTTCTTTTTTTCTTCAAATATGATCTCATACAGTCTTCAGTGTATGAGACTGTCCTTGAACTCCTGATTCTCCGGTCTTGACTTCCCAAGTGCAGGAACTATGTGCCTGCCTGATTCTCAAGATTGTTTTTACATTTAGACATATCATATATACTGGCTTATTTATAGACTCTCCCCTTTCCCTTTGCTCTTACTTATTTATTTAATTTCTAAAGCTCTATTTTTGTTTTAATTATGTGTTTTGGGTCTGTGTGTGGGTTCCTTCACGTGAATGCAGTACCCATGCCGGCCAGAAGAGGGCACTACTCCCTGCAGTACCTGGAGCTGGAGTCACAGGTGGTTGTGGGTTTAGGACATGAACTCTGGTCCTCTTCCAGAGCAGCAAGCGCTCCTAACTACTCATGGAACCATATCTCCATCCCAAGGCTGCTATTTTCTGAGTCATTTAATCTTAGTCTTAATTTTCATACGTTATCTTCTAGGACAGGGCAAAGAGTCTTCCTCACATAAATGCCTGAAAGGGTTCTAGCCATCCAACCAATAATGTTTTCTTATCATTTTACCTTTTGCCTGGGCCAGCTCCAAGCACTCTTTGGTATGTTGTAGAACAAAATAGGGCAAGGCTCATCTGGTGCTTTGGTCAAGACAGGAGCCATCAGGGAAACTGTCCTGGTGTAAGTAAGTGCTTTGGCTCCTTGAGAGGCTGTGAAGTTCCAGTTACCGGTGTCGGTCTGTGACTCTGTTAAGGGACCCACCTCTACTTTGGGGTCTTATCACCCATCTTTGTGCGAAGCCTTGCAGAACAGCCAGCATCTATGCTGTAGTTCTGAGTAACGTATATTAAGGAACAGGACACTCTGCGATCTTTCTTAAAGGTTTCCTCTGACATCCTGTCTGCATCTGGTTCCTTCCTCCACAGCTTTGCATGTAATTAATATGTGATCAAGCATGCAGCATCTCCTGGTACTTTTCTTTGATTGTGTGGGCCATGTGGTGTAGTGCTATAAACACACACACACACACACACACACACACACACACACACACACACACTTGACTTTTATGTCACTGTGTGTACCTACCACTCCAGGTGGCTCTCTATGCTTCCTGGGTGTGATACACATCTTTGTTATCTCACAGAACTCACTGAATTGGCAGCCTATGGAGTCTGGCACTTTGGGGGCATGTGGTGACCTTGTTACCTGTTGGAGGAGCAGACTTGCTTTTTTTTTTTTTTTTTTTTTTTGTTTTTCGAGACAGGGTTTCTCTGTATTGTTTTGGAGGCTATCGGTCCAGCCCAGCCTCGAACTCACAGAGATCCGCCTGCCTCTGCCTCCCGAGTGCTGGGATTAAAGGCGTGCGCCACCACCGCCCAGCCAGACTTGCTTTTTACAGAAAGGATCTTAGCGTTTTAGGCTATTGGTCACTGCTGCAGCTTCTCAGGTAGACAGATCAGCTACTTTGCTTTACTAATTACATTTTAAATGTTTGATTTGATGTTCATATTGTGGTGATCAGAGGTAGCAGAGGGACACTCACCTGGTACAGTTACAGAGCTTTGGTCATGAAGGACTCTGCACAAAAGAGTCCACTTGCATTGCTTTATCTGCTCAAGTGTCAAAGTCGAGCTCTTGCTCTTCCTTCACTACTGTGGGAGAGCTCAGGACATAAAGAATATTCCAGCAGGTTTCTGGGATGATGCGATATTTTCAGGTCTTTTCTGGATGTTGGTTAGACAGGTCCATTCAACTCTGAGAGAACTCATTCATTCATGAGAGAAAAATATTTGTGTACTTTCTTATTTATTTTTTCCTTTTTTAAATTTAAATTAGAAACAAGCTTGTTTTACATGTCAATCCCAGTTCTGTCTACTTCCCCTCCTTCCCTGCCCTCCACTGGCCCCCTATCCCATCCCTTTTCTGTTTCCCAGGGAGAGTGAGGCCTTCCATGGGGGATCTTCAAAGTCTGCCGTATCATTTGGAACAGGTCCTAGACCCTCTCCCATTTGTCTAGGCTGATAAGAGTATCCCTCTATGTGGAGAGTGCTCCCAAAGTCCATTTGTATACTAGGGATAAATACTGATCCACTACCAGAGGCCCCATAGATTAACCAGACCACCAAACTGACATCCTAATTCAGGGGTCCTGGAACAGTCCTATGCTGGTTTCCCAGATATCAGTTTGGGGTCCATGAGTAACCTCTTGTAGGAAGATGCCTGTATGCCTCCATTAACCATGTGACTTACTAGAGGCGCATACAGATGAGGTAATAAAAGAGCGGTTTACCACACGGCTAACCACATCCACTTTTGCTTAGATTGCTAGTTGGGGTCAATCTTGTAGATCTCTAGACATTTTCCTAGTGCCAGATTTCTCTTTAAACCTATAATGGCTCCGGGAACTTGGAAGTAAGGTTTAGAGAAAGGACAGCCACCATTTGAGGTGGATTACTGGAAATGTGTCTTGCCATGTGAAGACACTGTCATGGAGATTACACAGCTTGGTGCTCAGAACCAGAGTGGCTGTGTCACAGGGCTTGCAGGTGACCATTTAAGAAAATGTGAGTAGAAGCTGCTGTGTTTAGATAGTCAGATCTCAGGGTTTGTTAGGGCACTCAAGATACATACTTGTAGCTAGGTTTTGTTTGTTTGTTTTTAATAGACTTGATGGCTTAGAGTCAGCAAATTTAAATGAAAGTATGGTGTCCCCATATACATTCTCTTTGCTTAAATCCAAGTCTCCCTCATTTTTGTTTGTTTTTGAGAAAAAAATTCTTTAAATGTACACAAACTAAGTCTTGATAGTTCTGTAGCGTGTTCATGCTAAAATACAAAATTTCTGGTGAGTGGTCAGTCATCTTTTTCCTTAAGTTAGAAGGGGCTGTATAAAGATCCAGGAAAACTACTCTGTAGTTCCCACTGACCATCTGCCCAATCTGTTCATGGAGACAGAAGAACTGCATCTCATCACGTAGCTAATGTTGAGGCAAATAGCCAGGCCTCAGTGTCAAGGTTTTCCCAGTTTCTCTCTGGGTACCTGTGCTGATGCTTTTCAGCAATGTAACAGAGTTGCATATGTTGCTGCTTCAACTGTCACTATCTGGGCTGTAGTTCACATAGAGCAGTGCTCTAGGGTGGGTCCAGGAAGCTGCATTGAAATACCCTTGCAAGAGATTCGCATACCAAGAACTGCTGGTCCAGTAGCTACTGGCTGGTTGGCTTAGCACACTTTCTGAGAACTATCTTGGACATATTTGTGTTGAGTGCTTTTGGAAGATTAGAATGGGGGCCACATAGAGGAAAAGATGTCCTTTGAGCTGATGTAGGGAAATGACAAAGCATCCTGGGTGAGGGGAGACAAGTTCTTTATGTGTCAACAGAGTCAGGCCTTGTCTCCC